AAAAACGAATGTGTCCCGCATGGTATTATTTGACAGGGATGATGGCCCTGGCAGGTGCGCAACCGTTGTTGCAGAAGTTCGAAAAAGTTGCTCGCAAAAGCCCGTTTGACAGAAATGTTTAAAAAGTGTTGGGTTTCCTACGAATCCGCAAGAGCGCGCGGGATGAAATTTTGACAATTTTTTGAAAAACATTGGTTTTTTGATGTTTTTATGTTAAAATCGCTACGAAAACTAAGGTTTTGGAAGGATTTCGTCTTGCGCGCGCGAATGTCCACTTTACCTTATTTTTTGCAAGGGATTCTTGAAGTTTGGATATGTTAGAACAAGAAATGTCCACTTTAGCTTATTTTTTGCAAGGGAAAACCGATCGTAACAACACAACCGGATCCGGACCAACCCGTTTTGCCTGAGACTTCCTCACGAAAATGATGAAAACGTGGCTGCGGCCTAGGCGCGGCGGGGGGGTCGTGCACCAGGGGCCCCAACAATAATTATTCTTTAGAAGTAATAATGTTCAACAACAACAACAACAACAACAACAACAACAACAACAAACAACAACAACAATCATTTAAGACTGGGGACACTCCGTTCTCACCAGTGCCAGGGTTTTCATAGGAGGCGGGCAATACCCCCACTTTGTGGGGGGGCCGGTTCAAGCTCTACCCAAGTTTCCAAACGACTCTTCGCCACCACCCACACCCAGCTTCCCGCCCTATGACGTTCGGACACTTCACTTCGTGGCCTGCGGACGACCGTGGCTACTACACTGGCGCGTGGCTACTACACTGGCGGATTTCTGGCCCCTGGCAGGCGCGCGAACCCCGTTGCAAGAGCGTGCGAAAGTAGCTCGCGCGAGCTCATGTAACATAAATGTTGGAAAACCATTGGTTTTTTTAGGATTCGGACAGCGCGCGCGGGTAGAAATTTTGAAAAGTCGTGCAGGTGTTTTTCGAGGACCTACGGTGCGATTCGTGTGATTTTATGATGCGCGGTGCTAAAATTCTTAAGAAGCCCAATGGTTTTTGGAGATTTCGGCGTGCGCGCGCGAAGAAAAAACGAATGTGTCCCGCATGGTATTATTTGACAGGGATGATGGCCCTGGCAGGTGCGCAACCGTTGTCGCAGAAGTTCGAAAAAGTTGTTCGCAAAAGCCCGTTTGACAGAAATGTTTAAAAAGTGTTGGGTTTCCTACGAATCCGCAAGAGCGCGCGGGATGAGATTTTGACATTTTTTTGTTAAGAAACCATTGGTTTTGTATATTTTTATGTTAAAATCGCTCCGAACACTAAGCTTTTGGAAGGATTTCGTCTTGCGCGCGCGAATGTCCACTTTACCTTATTTTTTGCAAGGGATTCTTGAAATTTGATTATATTAGAACAAGAAATGTCATTTTATAGTGTTTTTTGCAAGGGAAAGCGGGGGGGAACAAAACAACCGGATCTTGATCACATCGAATTACCTGAGGCTTCCTCACTAAAATGATGAAAATGTAGCTGCGGCCTAGGCGGCGCAGGGGGGCCGTGCACCAGGGGCCCCAACAATAATTATTCTTTAGAATTAATAATGTTCAACAGCAACAGAAAAACGTTAACCAGCGATGGGTAGATTGTAGTGGCCTCCGGCCAGTGCCGCCGATTCGCTCCCGATGGTGATCGGGCTCGATTGGAGGTCTTGATACGGGACCGTCTTTGGGCTGTCTTCGGGCCGTCGCAGGAGGAGGCCTTTGAGGGGGTCTTTGAGCCTCTTGGCGGCTTCTTGGAAGCTCGTCGGAAGCCGTCTTGGGCCTGCGCTGTGCCACCTGGGATCATTATGTGGGCGCTTCAGGGCCGTGTTGGGGCCCTCTTGGGGCCGTCTTAGGAGCCCCTTCGGCCGTCATAGGGCCATCTCGGAGGCCTTTGGGGCCCTCATAAAGCGTAGAGAACATCAACGATGTGGGCCTCTTCGGGCCTTCTTGGAGGGCATCCTGAGCCATTTTGGGTGCATCTTTCAAGCTATGACGAAGCGTCCTGGCTTGCCTATAGGCCTACCAAACAATATTCAAAGAACCGTTCGTGGTTTCCACGAAGTGCTCTTAGAACATCTCTGGTTGGGACCGTCTTGTCTTGACACATCGGATTGATGTCTTGTTCTTGTTCTTGGAACATTCTGGGGTTCTGAGAACATTTCGTGGTAGGCCTGTGGGAATGCCGGGACGGTCGGTCCCTGCTCAAATCTTGAGCCGCCTGGGGCGGATCTGGCGGCCCGTTTGGGGCTCTCCGGCCGGAGTTTGGCGGGGTCTCGCGTGTCCCCGCCCCGCCCAGGAAGCGGAACACGGGCGCAGGCTTGAGTCTGGCACGCCCCTCCGTCCACAGGAGGAATATTCAAAAATAGTCCAAAAATAGTCGGGGACGATGTTTCTAGTATTTTGTTTTTTTGCATATATATTTATGTAAAGGAAAATGTTGACTCTGTCTTTTTTGTCGCCCAAATCCGCCAGTAGGAGGTCATGCCCGGCCGA